AAAATAGTATTTTAATAACACATAAATCTATTTTAGTTTTGGACTTCTAAAGTGACTTCTTCTTCTGATTGTTCTAAAATATAAAGTAAGTCTGGGAATTATCATTATCATGTAGCCATTACTATCCACTGTTGAACATAGGCGTCCACCAAGCTCTTCTATGTCTCTCCGTTCTGGGCTATCATCATGCATTTTACAGCAATTATTTTTAAGTCGTCATTTTAATTCGTGATTCTGCATGAAAGAATAATGACTTATTTATTGCTCTAAAACTTGCGTAAAGAGAGATATGTAAAATAAAATTTGTTGGGTTTTAGGACGTAGTTATTGCGCATTTTCAACATACTTCGGGAAACCCAGTGAAAAAATTAGTTTAATATATATTTTATTTGCACAAGTTGGCAAGAGCTCATCTGAATATGCATTGGAACAAAGCCCCTTTACTTATTTTTAGTTTATGCTACGGTCTGTCGCGTATTGGTTGTTCGTTTCGACGAAAAAACTGCGTTGGGGTTCTGCAAGTACCCCAGTTAGGCATCTTAGTTTCAAATTTAGAAATTTGAGTTTTCATACGTTTTGTCTTATTCGCAAATATAGGCGCGTTTGAGTAGACAAGAAAAATTTGATAAGAAAATACCAGTAATGCAAGAGGAGTTAGAAAGAATTATTCAAAATTAAAATGATAAATCAGATGACTCGGAAATAAATTATGATAAAGTTGCAGAAAAGGACGATGAGGAGGATCTTAGAGACTTGAATTCGTAAAGAGAAGACAATGTAGAAATTCAAAGTGAAGAGGACTCAGACTAGGAACCAGGAGGAGTTAATGAATGTGATATAGCTGAGGCAATCCCTGAATTAATAGCAAATCCGGAAAGCAATTGTTTTGTCGTCCCTTTCCTTTAAAAAGAATGTTACCGAAAAGCATAGTTGATACTCGTCCTTGTATCACTCAGTAATTAAATATTGTGATTTCTTTTTAAATCCTTTTCTCTATTCGGATTGCCGAATATAGGCCTCTTCTAATTCTCACCATTCATCCCTGATGTTTGTTAGACGTTTCCACATTGGCCTTTCAGTTCTATTTTAAAAATATTCGGTATTTTAAGATTAAATGACAAGAGTATTCAAAAAAAAGTTAAATAAGCAAAAAAATAAATTTGCTATATTTACGAATACGAATGTATTACAATTGATGAACAGTTAGTTTCGTTTCAAAGAAAATATCCTTTTTGATAAGTCGGCAAATCGAAACCTGGGCGTTATGACATTAAAAATTTGAGCAAATGCTGATACTAAGACTTTTTATTTGTACAACCCTCGAGTATACATTGGTAAAACGAATCCTAAAGATCAACCAGAGAAAACCCAAGGCTATCGAGTAGTAGCCGATTTAGCAAAACCAGACCATAACAACAGGAAAGCCATTACCTACTACTAATAACTTTTTCAATACTGTTCCACTAGACAATTATCTACTGACAAAGCGACTAACTTTACTTGGAACCATTCGCAAAAACCACATTATTACTTAATATTAAATCTAGACCTCCACAATCGTAATATTTTTATTTACAAAGGATCTTTCTAGATGGTCCTACATACTTTTCAGGAATCTTCATTCACATTATGTAAAAACAGCTCTGAGGAACTGCGGAATACGGAATGAGCTGTGTAAACAAAGCAGAGGAGGGACGCGAATTGGCCACCTGTACTAAAAAACAAGCTAGATTTTACCAGTATCCAAGAAATATTGATATAAACGTAAAACCACTTTGTGGTCAGTCCAAAAGATTTATTGTGAGCACCAAAAGGAACAAAAATTCATAATTTGTGGAAACTGTTACAAAAATCAATAATTTGAATTAAAAAAAATATATATATATATTTATTATATAAAAATATATATTATATATATATATTAGTATAATGGTAAGGTTGATTGGGTTAGCAGCTGAATAATGAAAGCCAAAGTGTGCTCTTTTCAACGACTTCTGAACGAGTGAACAATAGTTGGATTGCTTTAGTTCAACGATTGCTGAACTAAAGCAATCCAACTAAAAAAGCTTGAATTTCTTAAAAAAGATTTCCATAACAATTTTTTAAAAACCAAACCAAATTGGATAAAAAATCTTAGTAATGTTGACATCCCTAAAGATATAGAACAACTGTTAGCACTAGGTCCTAAGTTTAGTATAGAACCCAGAGTAGGATATGACATTTCAATCAGAAGTATTTTAACTGATATAGAATTAGTGGCATCATCAATATCAAATTTGTCAGATAAAAACATAGCTCGAGCTAGGGTAACTAATGTTTTGACTAACTTCATCTCACACAATAAAAAATCTTCCAACTATTTTCATCATTTATTAGATAAAACTAAAAAATTCTTAAAAAATCACTCTGAACTTATAGTCACTAAATCAGACAAAGGCAAAGAAAAAACTTAATTCATATAATAGCATTTCACCTAAATACTATTCTCTACCTAAAATACCCAAACCAACATTATCTGTTAGACCTATAGTATCGTCAATAGGAGCTCCTACTGAGAATATTGCTGGTTTTATTACTGAAATCCTAACCTCTGCTTATGACTGTAATAATGATTACTACATAAAAGATTCTTTTGAAGTTAACAATAAATTTAATAGATTACAACTACCTCAAGGTTATGTGTTAGTTAGCTTAGATGTGGTTTCCCTATTTAGTAACGTTTATCTTGAAGCTTGCATCAGATCATTAAATAAACATTGGTCAGAAATTAGTAGACATTGTACAATAGATAAAGATATGTTCATAAACTTAATCACCTTCTTATTTAATAATACCTATTTTTCTTTTGACAACACATATTACAAACAAACTTTTGGAACACCAATGGGAGCAAAAATTAGCCCCATTCTTGCTGCATATGTAATGGATGACCTGTTAGACACAATCATTCCAGTACTACCTTTCAACCTTTTCTTTTTAAAGAAATATGTAGATGACATGATCTTAGCTGTACCCAACAATATGATAGATGAACTACTATTTATATTCAATAGCTACGATCCTTACATACAATTTACCATGGAAGTCGAAGATGAAAATCAATCTATTCCTTTCTTAGACACTAAGTTAATCCGCTCAAATGATAACATCATTATAGTTGATTGGTACACAAAATCAATGAGTTCAGGCAGGTACATTAACTACATGTCCTATCATAAACACTCCACCAAACTAAACTTAGTAAAACAAATGAAAAATAGGGTTCTACAAATTTCAGATATATCATTCCATCAAAAAAATCTCAAAATACTTTATGATCTCTTTATAGATAATTCCTATCCACTTCTTCTTTTAAAAACACTTTTATATAATACTACATCAGTAACATCTATTAATCTAACTACCTCCCAACATTCTAACATAGCAAGTACAAATTCACAGAATACGGTTACCAGTCAAACCCTTCCAACATATTGTGTGCTGCCCTACATACGGGAACTAACACCAAAACTAACTAGAATCTTTAAATCATATGATAACATCAAAATAGCCAATAAAACAGTTTTAACAGTAAACTCTATTTTCTCAAAAATGAAAGATCGTACTCCGCATGACCAAATATCTAATGTTGTTTACAGTATCCCTTGTATGGACTGCAATGGCAAGTATATCGGCCAAACCTCTAGACGTCTTAAAGACCGTGTTACCACTCACAAAAGTGACTGTAGACTTTACCCAGATAGATGCACCCTAGCCAACCACGTTCACACCCAGAACCACAGAATGAATTTTGCAGATGTCAAAATCCTCGAAAAAGAAACAGCTTATAAGAGAAGACTTTTTTAGAAATGACCCACATAGCAACAACAGATAATATAATCAACACAAAATCAGATATACAACACCTTAGTGAAATTTATTCCTTTCTACTGCAGTTGGAAACAAAAAAATAATTAATTCAACGAACTGTAATATTCTGAATAGTATAATATTGTCTATTAAAACTCTTCTGACCATCCAATTGAAGTAGTAACTTAATCATTATTATTGCAATTGTTGCATTTTTCCAGGAAATAAAATTCTTAAGAGTAATAACAATAATTAAAATAACTTTAAAAGAAATAATCACAAAGAAATAAATCAATTCTATATATATTTATTAACAACAGAATTTAATTGTCTTAAATTAACATAACATAATTTTCAATTAAATGTAACTTTACACATAAACTGAACACAGCTTTAGTTTTCTGGCTGACATCTACTAATATGATAGCTGACAAGACACTTTAACCTTGAGGTACATACTAGATTTCCACCTCCTTGTGCATAGGTGAATAGACTGGTCCAAAAAATGACAATGTGATATGTAGTTGTGTTTTAACTGTTTTGTTTCTTAAATGTTCAATGTTTTTTAATATTTGTATTGTACTATCACACTGGAGGAAAATAACAAAAATGCACTTGTATTGTTTGAGTTTTCAAGCCACCATATAACACATACAACTTCCTTTTTTTTTGCTATAAAAAAAATCTTCAAAAAAGTTTTTCAACATGGAACTTTCAAATACCACTTTTGCCTGCAACGTCACACAAGTAAGTGTTTCACTACATCTTATGTAAAATACACAATTTCACCATTTTGTAACATATTGTAGCATTCGTCTGAAGATGTTAAAAAATTTAACGAAATATAGCGAAGTCGTTGAAAAGAGCACACTTTGGCTTTCATTATTCAGCTGCTAACCCAATCAACCTTACCATTCTACTAATTTTTAATTGGACAGCTGTGATCATTCTTCGTATATATATATATATATATATATATATATATATATATATATATATATATATATATATATATATATATATATACATCTATATTACATCTATATAATAGATATATAGATATATAAAATATATATATATATATATATATATATATATATATATATAGATATATAGATATATATGTAAATACATTTTTTACAAAAAGTCGTAAATCAGGAACAGTTTATTACTTGTTTTATACATTAAAGTTAGTTTCATCTATAAGTTCTTCATCACTTTCAGTAAAATTGGGCTCGGACTCTGATCTATTTGACTTTAATATTTCAGAATCCACATCTATTTTTGGCTCTTCTTTAACTGAGACCTTTTTCTTTGAAAATTCCGCCTTCATTTTTTGTCCTTCATTCTCTTCTTCTTTTTCCGTAAAATCTACTTTGTTATCATTTGGATTGTTTGAGCTTATAAGTTTGGTAAAACAATTTTCTGGGAGAGGTGGAAGGCCAAATAGCTCAGGAACCATACATTCTAAGCTGTCTAGTCTCAAAGTAGCACGTTTCCAACTTTCATATGGAACACTCGGATCGGGTATCATTACAACTTGCATACCTGCTGATAAAGCAGCAGTTACACCATTTGTAGCATCTTCGAACACCAAACACTTTTCGGGACTAGGGCTGCCAGGAAATCTATATAAGAATAGAATTATCATTACATATATAATGACCAATATTATGCGTATGAAAATTAAGAACTTGGTGACTTGATAATAATTCCATATAAATTTTTTAATAATACAATGTGGGACACAAGGTCTTCAATATAAAATGATCCCTTAGAAAATTAAAATGGTTGTGAATATCAAATTTCTTAGAATAGTAAAATTAGCACCATAATTTTAGTGATATGAAAATTAAAAAAGCCTACAATATTTAGATATCGAGTAGTTTGAACAACATACCAATCGAAATACATCCAACATTATACATAAACCTACAAACATGGCAAAAGATGGCAAGGAATAAAAATTTAAATTAACGAAACAACAAAACACAATAACAAAGAAAAAGCAATAATGAAACAAGGACTGTATGTGTATAGCAACTAAATCTGTAATAGTAATATGGCTATTACAAAATAGGAGTTAGTAATAAATATTTGAAAATTAAGGGTTTTATGTATTTTTAAGTGCCACATCATAATAAATAAAACGAAAAATATTTGCCTAAATAATGTAACAAGTAAATAATATAATACTATTGATATATATATATATATATATATATATATATATATATATATATATATATATATATATATATAGAAAAGAAATCTTTGCAGAAACGTTAAATAGTAAACTCTTAAGTATTGGGGAAATCTGCAAGAAAAACCATAATGAGTATCAATTGTTTCACCGAACGTTTTCGCCTAAGAGAATTAATTTGGCTTCTTTAGGGCTAAAAGAGAATAAATTATAATTAGCTACCATATATTATCTATAAAAATATTATTTATCTTACCGCAACTTTAGAAATATCGAGTTAGGACGATAAATAACTTTGCCAGTAACAACATAGTGGTGTTTTTTGTTACTATGTGCAAAAAAAGTTTTTTCTTTAACGTTGGAAATGTATGGTAGCTTTAACTTAAAAACGCAAAGGTTAACCAAGGTTAATCGAAAAACCCAATGTAACTACATTAACTACATTTAAAAGGAAGTAATTTTTTGAATTGTCGGCAATAACTAAATTGTTGATTGTTATAAAGTTTAAATGTTAGGTTCTGTTTTCTTAGAACGCATGTGCTTACAATCCAAGTAGGCTTTTGAATCTTTATGTCGTTAAGGTTCATTGGTAAAACCGAATGAAGTATAATCGCAGTTTGAGAAAATATTATTTTAGAATTTTCCTAATTGAAATTCTTTTTTTAATTATAGTATGTTGTTCATGTATAATTATAATAATATTTTATTGAGATGTTGTTAATGGATATATCAGTCAAATTAGTTATCTGTGATGTTGTACTGTTCTTGGTATCTGATTTAAGTAAGAAGTGGTATATATCGCTTAGATTCTTAATGTTGCTCTTAACATTGATGGAGAAATGGTTAAGGAAAATATAAGACATTTCAATGAACTCTCTTTTAGATTTATTTTTCTCACGGTGGAGAATTGTTGTGTTAGTATAGTCCATGAGATGACGAGTGGAATGGACATGTTTGGATAATACACAGCGGTCAGTGTGAAGCCGAGAATCACTTTTGTGTAGTGTAATACGTGATTTCAATAATTGAGATGTTTGGCCGATGTAGGAATTACTGCAAAAGAGTCAAGGAATGTTGTATATAATGTTACTGCTACTAACTAAAGGATCTTTAGTTTTAATATATAAATGTACATTTCTGGTAGCAATTTTTATGTTTTCTACTTCTTTAAATAATTTGAGAAGTTTTGGTGTTAAGAATGGAATATAAGTTAATGATTCAAAAGTTTGTGGTGTTGTTGGTATTAAGGTGTTAACTGTCAGGCTATTGTTTATTTCTTGGTTTGCCATTTTTACTGTGATTTGTTTTTTATTGTTAGTATTGCATTAGTATGTTTTCATTAGTATGTTTTTAGTCTCTTTAAACTTTGTTCTCTATATGTTGGATGAGTTATTCTAGTTACCCTGCTTTTTAGCCCCAAAATTAAGTTTATTTTTATTTTTGTAGGATGTTCAGAATAGTAATTTATGAATCTATTGCTAGAAATTGGTTTTCGATACCATTCTGTTTTAAGAATATTGTCATGTGTGCGATGAACAATCATATCTATAAAAGGAAGACTGTTATTTTGTTCTCTTTCTACAGTGAATTGTAATTGGCTACATTGGTTGTTAAAAATATTTAAGACGTCAGTTATTTTGTCATTGGGTACAGCTAGGATCAAATCATCTACAAAACGTTTAACAAATAGTGTTGGTATCTTGTCTTGCTACATGTGCTACCCATTGCCATCTCAATGCCGCTATTTTTCCATGATGTCGGTTACTTTAGTTCTTCGACGTATTTTGGTGTTAGGAATTTTGTCTCTGAGGCTTATTAATTTAACTATTTTTAATAAATTGTACAAAAAAAACTTTTTATTTATTTGATCATTACAATTAATACATACAATATTAGATTTAGAATGTCTTTTACAAGTGAATGCACTATATTGTGTACATTTCATAGAAGTATACGACTTGATTTTTTCACTGTAACAATTGCGGCATCTACCACGTTTACTAGGATTTTCATCTTCTTGATGGGGTACTGGCTGCTTCGGAAACATCCTGGACAGAAACTTGGTTAGATCACGTGGAAGTGTTTTAATTTGTGATCGTTTATGAAGGTGTTCTTTCATCAAGTTCATTGCAAGGTTTTTAAGAAAATGTCTCCTTCTGAGTGATTTTCCAGAATTTGCAGCGGAATGTAGAACATAAGCATTTATGCCTCCAATATTTATTAAATTATAGAATATAACACACGGCCATCTTTTAGTAATTCGTGAAACACTGTATGATGAACATAATTTATCTACAGTATCAACTCCTCCTTTTGTTTTATTGTAATCTAAAATCACCTGTGGTTTCTTAGTATCGATGTCAACTGTACTTTCGTTCTGCATAGACGATCATAATATGACTGACTTACTTTTACGCGGCACGTAAGAGGTAATCATATAATCTTTTTGAAATCCAAATATGCTAGATTGAACTGCCCTTGATTTATGTAAAAGAAATTCTTGAGGAATTTCTTTTTTGTTTTTCTTCAGCGTCCCAAGCAGAGTAACTTTCTTCTGCAGCAAATATCTAACTAACGGAATAATAATATAAAAATTATCTGTTGTTATGTTTCTTCCTGTTATTTCTACAGACTCTATTAGACGTTTTACAACATCAAAGGCCGAATTTGATACGTCGTATGGGAAACTTGACTGCTTACCGCAATATATCTCTAAATTGTCGGTATAAAATGTTTAAGCATCACATAACGCGTACATTTTTATCCCGTACTTAGCAAGTTTGTTGGGTATATATTGTATCCAGCTACACCTACCTCTAAAGGGATGGAGCATTTCATCAATTGTTGTATACAAATTGTATGAGTTTTGACAATTTTTTATAAATCTGTCAAAAACCGATCCAATGGATGACAGCTTGTCTATTTTACATCTATCACTCCTTGTATGTTTATCATCAAATCTTAATGAACGTGCAATAAATTGGAAACATTTGCAGCTCATTATTGCTCGAACAATATCAATCCTTGTTTTTCCCAAAGTTTCATCACATTTGTGTGATTGCCGTGCCTTATGCCAATCAAATAGAGGAGTTTAAAAAAGGCCAATAACTCACTGCTGTCCACATTCCTGCAATCTCTATCTCTCAAATATTGCGTTTTATCTCTATGTTCATTTATATATAAATTGGTAAAAAACGCATCAATTTCTGTTTTTCTTTGACGTGCAGTTCCTTTTAATCCTAGTGGTATTCTCATTATATTTTGTTGCTTTATCTTAGATGTGGCAAAACAAGTTTTATACCACTTACTTGTTTTGTTCCTTGCCAATGAATGTATCTTCAACGTTTTCGTAAAACACTTCCTCCTCATCTGACATATCTTGCTCTGAACATGTATCGTCGCGGTTCTCCTCAATTTGTTGTTTATCCAAATCACTATCTTCTTCTTCTTCTTCATGTACCATATCCTTTCAGAATGTTGGTTACCATCATAGCTATTTTAATTTTATCCACTGCCACCCTAAATAGCATGCTTGTATCTACACCACACCAGTCTCGCAAGTTCTTTAACCATGAGGTTCTTCTTCGTCCTGGACTGCGTTTGCCTGCTATTTTTCCTTGCATGATATTTTGTAACAATCTATATTTGGGACCTCTCATTACATGTCCGAAATATTCCAGCTTTCTCTGCATGATGCTTTTTATGATCTCAGTAGTCTTGCTGAGACGTTCTAGTAATGTGGAGTTACGAATCTTCTCCACCCAGGAAACTTTTAAAATTCTTCTATAGCACCACATTTCGAAAGCCTCAAGGCGATTTAGATCGATTTTATTCACAGTCCAGGACTCGATAGCATAAAGTAAGACCGAGAACACGTAGCAGCAAAGTAGGCGGATCCTTAATGCCAATTTTAGGTCTCTGTTACATTACACCTTGGACATCCTTCTAAAAGCAGCACTAGCCTGCTCTATTCTGGATCTAATTTCGCCGTGATTTTCTGAATTACAATTTAATTGCTGTCCAAGGTAGACGATTTTATCAACTTGCTCAAGTTTGGTATTATTTACATATATAGACGGTTTTTATATTAAATCACTATCACTTTCCAATATTTCATCTGTTTCATCTTCAATATCTGTCATATTATTTAGAATTTCCTCTAATTGTGCTTGGGTTAACACTTCCTTTGGATTTTTACGAGACAGCTGCTTAAAATGCAAGGTATAAAAGATAAGATAAAAAAATTAGTGCGCAACGCTACTGGTTTAAAGAGATATACAATATATACAAATTATCACTTGTTAAAACCTGTGTCGTTTCGCTCTATTTTACTCTATGACCTATTCTCTATTTATTAAAATAATGCATATTACCGACTACATCAACGACATAAAATACGAAAGGCAGAGGGGGAATATAAAATGCTAAGGAGGGAAGGGAAGAAAATACATCGCAGAAAGAAAAGAGAACACATAGAAAAAGAACTCCAAGAAATGAAAGAACTAAACAAAACAATCAGAAATCAGAAAATTCTAGCAAAAACTTAACAAAAGAAGAAAAGAATTTAAACTAAGAACAATAATGTCTAGAGACAAAAAAAGAAGATATAGTAACTCAACAGAGAAAAATACTACAAAGATGGACAGAATTCTTCAAAGACTTCAAAAAGTTTGAAAAAAACGAAGATCCGCTAAATGATGGAATTATACTGTATCAAGCGGATACCAGAGAACAACCCTCCCCCCCCTTCAGTAGCTGAAATGCAAGAAGCAGTTACCAGACTGAAAAACAACAACAAGTCACCTGGATTAGAAAACATTAGCGCAGAAATAATAAATCAAGGTGTAGACTCCCTATTGAATACGATACACGAACTAATAGTGAACATATGGAAAAATAAACAACTGCAACAAGACTGGAATACCGGAGTTATTATCCCACTACATAAAAAGGGGGATCAGCTTCAATGTAAAAACTACCGGGCAATAACGCTACTGACTGGCATATAAAATACTGTCAAATATTGTGTATGACCGATTAAGACCATATGCGGAACAAATAGTTGGGAAATATCAATGTGATTCCCGCAAACAGAAGTCCACAAAAGACCAGATCTTCGTCTTGAGGAAAATCATGGAAAATCCTAGTGAATTAATATAGACACACATCATCTTTTCATTGACTTTGAGAGTGCCTATGATAGCATCCATCAAGAATTTCTGATCCATGCACTGAAAGAGTTTAATATTCCAACTCAACTCATTGATATATTAAAATAAACACTTCAAGTACAAAGCAAAATTCAAATTCAAAACGAACTAACAGATAAAATCTATGTGAGATTCAGCATCACATTAGAGAAAATAATTAGGGAGTCAAAAGTCAATACCAGAGGAACAATAATAACAAAAAGTGTACAAATATTGGCATTTGCAGACGATGTTGATATCATAGCTAGAAAAGAAAGAGAGATGATAGAAGAATTTAATGCGATACAAAGAGCGGCAACACACAGGGGCCTAAACATTAACGAAATAAAAACCAAATACATGAAGGCCAGTAAATCGACAGGCCAAAGAAACCTACAGAGTCTGACAATAGGAAACTATAACATCGAAAGCGTGAAAAGTTTTACATATCTAGGTTCACTAGTTACCGCAGATAACAATATCAGTAAAGAAATTAAGAGAACAACACATATCGCTAATAAAACATATAATGGACTAATTAAACATCTCAGATTTAATAACATCACAAGAAAAACCAAATGCAAAATATACAAGAGCCTGAAAAAACCGGTCCTTGTATATGGATCAGAGACATGAATAATGTAGAAAAGCAATGAGAACCTATTGGGTACATTTCAACGAAAAATTCTTAGACACATATATAAGGAGGTAAAGGAAAATGACATATGGCGCAGAAGATATAACTTTGACCTATACACAGCATACAATGAACCCGAGATCATAACATCCATAAAGATCGGACGTCTGCGCTGGATTGACCATGTTGAACGGATGTTGGAGACTAAAACGCCAAAACATATATTGAGGCAAACACCAGTAGGGAGACGGTCAAAGGGAAGACCCAAACTTAGATACATCGAACAAGTGGAACAAGATCTGAAAACACTTAAGATTACCAACTGGAAAACAAAGCAAAGATCAGAACAGAATGGAGGAAAATCCTAGAACAAGCCAGGACCCAGAAAGGGTTGTCGAGCTACTGATGATGATGGTGACCTATTCTCTATTTAACTCTATTTTACTTCATTCTCTATTTAATATTCTATTTAACTCTATTTTACTTTATCTTTGATACCTCACGTTTTTAACAGCTGGCAACCCCAATTTAAGACCAATTTTTCTCAAGCAACAGTATAGTATCCCAATAAAAAAAATTAGCAATAATTTTTCATAAAAAAACATGCACACATCTCATGAGCAGCGTATTTTATTAAAAAAATAAATGAAAACATATAAATATATTTTTATATAAATGAGAGCTCGGTAGTAAATAATGGTAATACTTAGGCAAATTTTGATTTTTCCCGAAATTTTATGTAAAAGATGGCAAGGGACATGGCAACGCAGAAAACTTATTTTCCCTCCGAATAATAGTTGGTAAAGAGACATGCATAAGCATGAAAATAATGTTGTGTGTCCATGATGGCGGAAGACAAAGCAGGTTGTTCAAATCCAAATAGCTTTTTTTGATGTTAATAGTGACAATTCTGAGAGCTACGATGATTACGACTCAAATAATGAACCCGAATTTTAAATATTTAGTGAAGCTAGCTCGACTATAAAACTTTCTACAAAGAAGGTAATTTATTTATATTGTTAGAGTAACTGTTTACAAGTAAAAAATGGTAAAGGATAACATTGTTTACATCCACATTCACTTTCGATAAAAACTTAACATTTTTTACTTGCAAATATGAACATGAATTCTCTGCTGCGCTATAATACTTAACCCATTCACTGCGTATGACTGCATTTGGCGGCGCTATGATCTGATGCATATAATTATAGTGCGCATGTTGCCATTGGCACAGTATAGAGGGAACCCCTTATACTGTGCCATTGGCGTCAGATCAGAGTTCCGTTCGAATTTACTTAGCCAGTAATCAAAACTCAGTAGGTGTGAGTGGACGTGCAGGTACACGCAGCGAATGGGTTAATATTATTTTTATTTATGTTTTGAAGAAGAAGGAGAGTAAGAAAAAGAAAATAAGGAGGATTAAACGAACACAGTAAACAAGAAAAAAAAGTTTCTGTTTCAGAAACAAAACCTGGAAAAAAGGAAATGCAATTAAAGTATTAAAAACGAAACAGCTTAGAAATTGTGTAAAAGAATATAAAGAATACAGAGGTAATGAAAATATTGTTTTATCGAAAACACAAGGTCCACCGTGTAGTTGCTCCAATAAATGCTATAAGTTATTTGTATCTCATAAAGAGCTGCACGCAACTTTTGTTAATTTTTGGGGCATGAATAGTTTTGATACACAAAATGCTTACTTACAAGCTTGTATAAGATCAAAAATGTGACTAGAAAGAAAACTAAAGCACTAGTGCCAAATAGATCTCAAACCATTGAATATAAATTAATCACAAGGAAAAAATATTAAGGTATGCAAATCTTTCCTAAGTATCCATGGCTTACATAAACTTGATCAAATACTCCAAAATTAGATCTAAGAGGTCGACTTTCAAATCATCTAAAGTAGCCATTCTCTAAGTGTGTTCCGCGACATCCATGTAGGGGTTCCGTAAGAATTTAGAAAAAATTCCAAACAACTCTCTCTGGTCGACCGTTCTGACGCGGCGTATCACGATTCACGAGGCGCAGCCGAACACATACATACACACATACATATATACAATTCATACACATACATACAATTCATACACACATACATATATACACGTACATATATACAATTCGCCTCGTACAATTTTACTATGCCGCCACCGCCGATATCTACTTGTGAGTGCGAGTCCCTTTGATAAAAGCCGCCCCTGAGATTAACAATAATTGTAAACAAGCTCGCCGACTCGAGTATTTTTGAGAATGTTCGAGATCTGGCTAAGACTATAAAAGCGGCGATCGCGCCTCGGCGCCTCTACGCTTAGTTAGTTGACGATTAGTGTTCGGAGTGATAAGTACCTACCTGCTAGAAACAAAGTGTTTATTGTTCTACTGCTGTATTCTGATTGTACATTTCTTCTTTGGACTAAACTCTTTTACGCAGTAACGATCGTGCGTTATTTTGACCCCACCATCCTGACATGTAACATTATTAATAAAGAAGAATGGAACGTTGGCTTAAAGGCGTTAAACGTGTTGCAACAACATCTTCTAACGAAGCCGAATGTTCAAAAGTAGTTCGCGCGGAGTATACAGCAATTACCGATCCAGACGATTATGCAACGACGTCAAGTTCCACGGTTTCAAAGGCCAAAAAAAAGGAAGTATGATGAATCATATATCAGTTTCAGATTTGTTGATTCCAAAGGCTCACCTCTCTGCATGATATGTAGTAAACTGCTTCCTAATAGTTCCATGGCACCTGCCAAGTTGCGCCGACATTTAGAAACTGTACACCCCGAGTCTAAAGACAAGAATAAGAACTTTTTGTACGTAAAAAAGAATTGGAAAGTCAAAAAACTATGATGCATGTAACCCAAACTATCAATCAAAAGGCCACAGAGGCATCATATTTAGTTAGCTATCGCATTGCACAAGCAGGTGAAGCGCACACTATCGCTGAGAATTTAATAAAACCATGTGTGTTAGACATAACAAAATGTATGCTCGATGAAAAATCTGCAAAGCATCTTTCTACTGTGCCGCTATCAAACGATACTGTTTCACGGCGAATTCATGATCTGGCAAGCTACGTCAAACAAGAACTAGTTACACGTCTACAAGAAACACGTTTCGTCTTGCAAATAGATGAGTCTACTTATGTCGCTGGTCTGGCTATCTTGCTGGTTATCGTGAGATATCCATATGAAAGTTCTTTGGAAGAAGATATGCTTATGTGTTCACCGCTGCCCACAAAAACTACCGGAGAAGAAATGTTTAATAAAATAAATATATTTTTTGAGGAAAATAATCTCATTTGGAGCAATTTCATTAACATTTGAACAGATAGGGCCAAGGCAATGACGGGTAATACAGCAGGACTAGTGTCACGAATAAAAAATAAAGCGCCTAATTGTAGTTCCAGCCATTGTATCCTGCATAGACAAGCACTTGCGATGAAGCAAATGCCGTCAAATCTAAAATTAGTTATGGATGAAGCGGTAAAAATAATTAATTTTATCAAAACACGACCACTACAATCCCGATTATTATCATTATTGTGTGAAGATTATGGCCGCAAACATAAAACACTGCTGCTCCATACAGAAGTGCGATGGCTGTCTTGGGGTAAAACTTTAACAAGGCTATTTGAACTTAGAGCCGAGTTACAAATGTTTCTTTCAGATACTGCTTTTAATTTGAAAGATCGTTTGTATGATAAAACTTGGTTGTTCCGACTGTCTTTTATGGCGGATATCTTTCAAAAACTGAACGAATTAAATGTATCATTGCAAGGTAAACAGACAACAGTGTTCCAGGCCTGTAACAAAATAACTGCCTTCAAAAGAAAATTACATTTTTGGATTATTTGCGTTGGAAAGAGAGAAATCGGAAGCTTTACCTCACTCAGTGAGTTTGTTAGTGATAACGATTCAGAAATGTTTCAAGTTGATGTATTTGAGGAATTGGTCTAATATCTCACTTCGATGCGCGCATCTTTTGAGAAGTATTTTCCCGAAGAACAAAATACAAAAATGAAACTGAATTCATGGATTCATAATCCTTTTTTACCCAACTTACAAAAGCCCGAAAGTATGCCAAACGAGATATATGAATCTCTTTTAGAAAGGTCATCAGACACAAGTTTGGAGGCACTGTTCAAAACGACGCCTCTCAACGATTTTTGGTGCAGAATTCGTGATGAATATCCAATGCTTGCCAAAATGGCACTGAATATTCTTCTCCCGTTCCCAACAACATATTTGTGCGAAACAGGATTCTCAACCTATGCAGCTACGAAAACAAAATACCGCAATAGACTGGACGCCGAACCTGATATGAGACTTCAACTGTCCTCTATCAAACCTGATATCAACCAATTGATGAAAAATAAAAAACAGTTTCATACCTCCCATTAGTTAGATTTTTTTCTTTTTTAATAATTTCTATTATTATACTTGTTATGTAAGTAAGTAATAACTAACTGTTACATTGTACTTTTATTATGCTTATTAATAAAGAATACACTTTTAAAAACTATTGTTTTATTGTAGGGTTCCGTCAAGTATTTCGCTTTCCAAAAGGGTTCCGTCACCAAAAAAGATTGAGAACCGCTGATCTAAAGAATATTCCAATTCTGATATCAATTTTCTGAAATTTTTTATTGAAAGCTTATCTAAGTACAAAAGCCATTACACCCATGTTGAGAGCTGTAGACAATATATGAGTATGAAATATTTTATTCAGACTGGTTATTCGAAATATGTAGGAGAATGCATTTTGAAAACTCCAATTTCTGCAAGTAAATTCAGAAGAATATTTACTAAAGAATATAAGTCTCAAAACTCCAAAAATGGATACATGTCAAGAGTGCGATAAGTTTTCAGTAGCTTTAGAAAATGCTAAGTTACACAATGATGGAACTGAACTTGAAAAAATTTAAAACTAAACAAGAATTACATCATAGAAAAGCTGAAGAGGTCAACAGTCAGTCAGATACGTTGTAGAGGAAGCAAACTTAAATCCAGGTGTGCATGCAATAAGTTTTGATCTACAGCAAACCCTTCCCACACCAAATCTTACCACTGGTTCCATGTCCTGTAAAAGAAAATTGTGGTGCTATAACTGAAGCATACGTTCCCTTGAAGACGGTCAGGGTCACTTTTATATGTGGGATCAATCCACTAAAAGAGGGTGGGACGAAATATCTAACCGTCTTAAAATTTTCATTGAGGAAAATAATGTTCGTGGCAGAAAAATAATAGCTAGTTCAGACAATTACTGCGGACAAAATAAAAGCTGGACCGTCATTAGTCTTTGGCAGTATCTTTTACAAAATGAATATTTTAAAGAAATGGAATCGATGAAAGTACCGATAGAAAACTGTAATTTATGTTATGGTTTGTAAATATTACAGAGTTATCATGTAATTACAACCAAGTTAAAAATTCTACCACAGCAGAACGCCGCAGTAAAGCCATCCTAACGATCAGAAACAAATTAATTAACGGTGCAGATTAACCTCCATATCTCTATGATATGCAAATGGTAATTTGTGCCATATCCTGTCCTGAAGCATGTCTGTTCTTCGAGTTAATAGAAATCAAGTTTAGGTATTAATCTCTACTTTAAAATTTTCACAAAAGGATTTGTACATATAATATGGCAAGAGAGTCTATAATTTTCTAATTTTGTAATATCACCTTTTTGTATAAGAATGTTATCACTGCATTATTGCAGACTTTTGAAGTAGTAACCTCACGTAATCATTTATTAAATAGTTTTTAGTAAAATTTCTTTTTTTGCTTTTATTGTCTGAATAACGAGTCCATAATTATCAAGCGATTTATGGTTCTTCATTTCCTTTAAAGCTGCTTTTACTTCTGACCATCAAGCAAAAAGATAAAAGAGGGAATGTAAAGGTAGTGGGGACAAAAATATTGTTAGACAGGAAGTGCCATCTTGAGAGGCCACTTTAAACAAATTGTCTCTTTCTTTGTTTAAGAAATCAAATTTAGTTTGGTTATGTTATTGTTTGTCCCAACTGTCACATAAAATTTTATTTATATTGAATTTTTTTACCAATTGTGTCACTTTTTAGACTATTATAGTTAATATTTAATTTAAATTAATTTAAAACTTTCTCGTCTGAAAAATATTTTATACCTATTGTTAATAAGTGTTGGAAAATTTAAATTTAGCGCCTTTGCATTTCCGGATATGTCCGCCATCAGAGGCCACTTTTTTGGTCTCCTTTTCATAACGCTTAGATTCCCTCTTTTATCTTTTTGCTCGATGCTTCTGACACTGCAATGGGTAAAAGTACTTTAGATCCCTAATTAATGAGACTCCTTACTTTCGTCGGGAAATTGTCTTGTGGTCTTTGGCAGTAATAGCGGTAATTGTAAAACTCTCTAGTTATATTCAGGATGTTTAGTTTATCCGTTGTTGCCTTTCCGTCTTCGTCTCTCAGCTTGTATATTTGTTTTTACTGTGTTTCCGTTTTCTTTTCTTATCCTTTTAAACCATTATTCTTATCTACTGTTTAAATAATTACATTAATATTATATCTTCTTAGATTTTTTCTACCATCTTCTAAAATTCTTTTATTAAGTTTTCTACACTTCTCTTTGTTTCCCTAATAAACAAATATTAATAAACCTTAAATCAACCACTGGAGAAAGAAATGCCCACAGCAAAAATACTAGCCAACAGCTTGTTGTCAAACTAAATGTATTAAAATTAATATGGGTTTATTAATTTATTATAAGATATATACCGTAAAACGTAATTAATTAACTTTTTAACCTTTTAGCTGCTAACAAAAATGTATCAGGTGCAGGTTTGCCATGAATAACTTCAGGATCAGTGCCACCACAAACTACATGATGAAAGAGATCAAAAATATCTCTCTTTTTGCTAAATTTGATATCAGCTGAATCTTGAGGAGATGAAGTGCCGATGGCTAATGGTATGCCATGTTCATGCAAATGTTTGATAAGCGTCACGGCACCTAAAATAAAACGTTACAACTCCTTAATACAAAGAAAATAAATAGCTGAAAACATTCCTTCAAACTTATATAGATTTTTATAAAATACCATTCATAAAACAGTGCTTAAAATACAAACTTAATTCTACAATAATATAATTAACTATTTTATAAATGTATTTATAAAGTCAAATAGTAATCCGGACGATTAGAAATAATGTTTAAATTGTTTCACATCGTTGTAACTAAAATTGCCATAATGAGAAAATAACATGTCCAGCTTAAACTAATTGAGTAACTAGCCCGACTTAATAAGTACGTGTCAAAGCGCATGTATTTTATAATACATGATATAGTTAAAGGTTATTTTGAACCCCTGCAGTTGTGTAAAAAATCAAATAAAGTTGGGACAAAGTACCAATATTTTTTACCACATTAGCCTCCCACATTATAGCAACCTCGAGAGCACTGTAAAACCGTGGCCATACCACAAAAATAAAACAAAAACTAAAACTACTGAAGTCTATATGTTCAATATGTTCATATGATAATCTGACAAGCTTACTTTAGACAAAATCACCTTAGCGATATCGCAAATTAAGATTTAAATCAGATATTTTATAATCAGAAAAAATACCCCACTTACTTCAGACCTATCCGCAATTACAGATCCTATCAATAACACCACATATTGAAGCAGGTTTTAAAAGAAAGCTATAAACATACGTTGCTTTCATTGACCTATTAGCTGCATACGATAATTGTAGACACGGACTAATCTGCAAAACTACTCCATACCATTCCGTGTCAAAAAATAACTAAATATATAGATGCTCACTGTTTATGGAAACCGACAGACTCTTTCAAAAAACAATGGGTAATTTTAAAAGTGTTCTAATGAAGCTCTAAAATCTGTTTTGGCACCCTTACTGTTTAATGTATACATCGCGGACCTGTCTGAGTCATTGCAGCAAGACCTAATAACATAGATGTTACAGAAACAATTCTAACGAATGACCTTGCCATAATGTGTAAATACTTTTGTAAATGAAGGCTACAGCCCAACGCAACGAAAACCGAAGTGAGCTGTTTACATCTACATAATATCCAAGCCAACAAAAAACTCTCCGTTCACTTTGAAAATAGACAATTGACTTATAACACAACACCTAAATATCTTGGAGTAACTCTTGACAGAACTGTAAGTTTTAAAGAACACCTACAAAGAACAACAGCCAAATAATATATTCCAAAAGTTATGTGGCTGAGAAAACATCAGAAAGAAAATTCGAGAGGCAAAAGAGAGGTGGCTCTCCGACAGATGCAAGGAAATAGAAGATCTGGATAAAAAGTACGATAGCTTTAATTTACACAAAAAAATCAAAGAAATGACAGGTTCTAGAAAGCGTACAAAAACGAATATCCTTAAAAATGATAAAGGGGATATTATTACTGATATGAAGGAGAGATTATGTCACTGGAGCAATTACATTCAACAACTATTTAATGATGAAAGAGAAGAACTGTCATTAGAAGTCACCGAGGATATCGGACCACCGATATTAAGAGAAGAAGTCATCTATGCCATCAAAAACACAAAAGAGGGTAAAGCTACTGGACCAGATGAGGTGCCCATCGAATTATTAAAACTCATCGATGAAGATGTTATTGCTGTAATGGTTGAACTCTTTATTCTAATATATCAGACTGCCATAATCCCCAGGCAATGGCTGCAATCAACCTTTGTAGCAATTCCCAAAAAACCAAGTTCAACAACTTGCTCAGACTACAAAACAATAGCTTTAATGAGTCACACACTTAAAACATTGTTGAAAATAATTCACAGCAGAATTTAGAAATGGTATGAGCACAAGAGATGCTTTGTTCGGCTTGAACGGGCTGGCTCAGAGATGCATGGACATGAATCAGGATATGTACTTATGTTTTGTAGACTTTGAAAAGGCATTTGATAAAGTTCAACATAAAAAGGTTGTAGATATATTCAAAAGCAAAAATATTGACAGTCGTGATCTGAAAATTATATCTAATTTATATTGAAATCAAACTGCCAAAATAAGAGTTGACAGCCAGTACCCCGAAATTATTAAAATACAGAGAGGAGTCCGCCAGGGTTGCGTGCTGTCCCCACTACTTTTCAATGTCTACAGTGAAGCGGTATTTCAAGAAGCGCTCTCAGACTCAATAGAAGGTATATCTATCAATGGAGAAGTTTTGAATAACTTACGTTTTGCAGACGATACAGTAATAATTACGGATAACAACAATGATTTACAGAACGTAATGCAACGCCTTAATGAACGCTGTCATGAGTACGGACTGAAGATAAATTTAAAGAAAACTAAATGCATGATCATGACTAAATCTGCACATGCAAATAATATCCAATTGACTATTGATGATACTGCATTTGAGAGTGTTAATAACTATAAATACTTAGGAACATGGATAACATCAGATGTAGACCAAACCAAAGAAATTAAGACACGTATTGAAATAGCACTTACATCATTTATTGAACTTACAAAGTTTCTTTGTTGTCGGGATATAAGGTTAGAACTACGCCTGAGAATGCTTCGATGTTACGTGTTCTCTACTCTTCTTTATGGTTTGGAAGCTTGGACACTAAAACAAGTTCATCTGAATAAGTTGGCCGCCTTTGAATTTTGGTGTTACAGAAGAATCCTACGAATATCATGGATTCAAAGAATGTCAAACATGGAAGTAACTAGAAGGATAGGAAATGAGGCGGAAATAATATTAACTATTAAAAGACGAAAACTTGAGTACTTGGGAAATGTGATGAGAGAGCAAAAATACGCATTATTACAACTTATGACATGGCAAAATCCGAGAAAAGCAAAATGTGGGAAGACGAAGAATATCCTGGTTTAAGAACTTAAGGGAATGGTATGAATGCAGTAGTGCCGAACTTTTTAGAGGGGCAGTCAACAGAGTCCGCATAGCCATGATGATTTCCAACCTTCGATAGAAGATGGAACTTAAAGAAGAAGAAGTGGTAGATGTGCTAATAGCTTACATTATGGAGGAAAGCCCGTAATCCTGAGTATGACTGTGGTGTGCAACGACTGACTTTTCATCACATTGTTGTAAAATGCTTCCCAAGATGGTTCCCTGAGTTTTTGATGAGTTTATAATACATGTAATACATGTAAAATATATAAATTTCAAAATCATAACTATTCCCAATCAAACACAGAAATATAGATGCATTAAGTCATCTAAGCCTAAATGATAGCAATATAAATTTGGCAAATGAAGAAAAGTACTTTGGGCTGATACTAGAACCGCAGCTTATTTGGAATTAGCAGAGAAAACGACTAACCAAAAGAGAGGTGACTGCTTTATTAGTAGTTAGACGTACCTGTAGAAAAACAAAGTGTTTAAAACCAGACATATTATAATTGATTTATGTTATAGCCGTAAAACCAACAAAAACGTATACATCAGTGGTGTGGTGGCCGCAAAAAGTTGCAGAAAAAATTAATCTTTAATTAAGGAAAATTTGCTTGCCATAAAATTACAGAGGCTCTGAGAAACGAATCAACCGCAGCTATGAAATACGTCATTATAATTGAGAGTGATCAAAATGGGATATTATAAGAAAGAGGAATAGGGTATTGTAGACTGCAAGACACTTGAGTAATGTAATTATTAAATTAATTCATAGCAACGTCTTAAGAGAACTAACATAACCAAAGTAAGGTAATTTTTAGATTATGATAAGAAGGGTCAAAAATAAAATTAGGGATACCATATGGATAATGACTACTGATCATATGTCACTCAGATATATGCCTAAATAACGTCTGGTAGATATCAACTCACGCCAAAAATGCGGCAGAGGAAACACACAACTCAGGCTACAGGATTACGTCTGGTATACAGACGAGTCTAAACTGTAGTACATATTGTCACGTGCAGGAGTTTACGGTAGTAATGAAACGTAAGTAATTCTATTCCACTAGGAAAGCTTTATGTATGCAATATTGCATTGCGTAAAATATATGAACATTTTTATACCTTTTAATTTAATCGGCTGAATATATAAAAAGATAGTTAAGTGGTTAGTGGAAGATAGTCTCGGGGCTAGAGAAGAACTGGCGGAGATAGATAGATAAATAGACGGAGAAAGACTTCTTCTTCTTCTTCTTCAAGTGCCCTGTCCGTTGTGAACGTTGGATATTAGCATGGCAATTCTGATGTTGTTTGCGGCGCTGCTGAATAGTTCGACCGATGTGAGCCCGAACCACTTCCGCAGATTTTGGAACCACGAGTGTCTTCTTCTGCCTGGCACTGGAGAAAGACTAGTAGAGTATAAAAATCTCACACGGCAAAATATTTTAGCTTAGACCCTATTTTACGGGTGCCAAAAAGCATTGTCCGAAACTAAAAAACAGTATGGATCTAATAACAATATAACTGCGTATACTACAATAGATCGTGTGTAGTAAACATTCTTAGATGTTACTCCAGCTTTCTACGGTGTAAAAAGCTAAAGTTTTGCAGAAGAGTTTTCCTAGTTAAAGTTATACAAGTATAAAATACGAATTTTTGCAACCACAGATTCACCATATTTTTATCCCATATTTGCCTTGTTTTGATGGAATATATCATGTAAATCGCATTTTTATCTCGATTTTGAAAAGTAATTTATCAAAAGTAAAACACTCATCGTTGCACGTTATAATGGACGCAGAGTTGTTTTCTATATCTCTATAGTGTATTCAGTATTTTTTAGTTATTTTCGCCAAGAATTCGTGGAAGGTATATATTTCTATATATATATTACGCTTTGTGTAAAATTTACTTTTTTTTTGCAGGAGAAGCGTTGTTAAAAGCGGTGTTAATTATTTAAAATGTACCGTTCCCGTCCTAAAAAACTGGTACAACTCTTATAATCAAAAATCGTGTTTTTTAGTTGTGTACGTTGAGCTTGTCACATGTGTCATTCTGATTTCTAGGGCACCGTTGCCAGTTCAACGAAAATATTATATAAAACCAGTTAAAAGCAAGGCTGTGTGACAGACCACCAGTTTTGAGTATACTAAAAACTAAAACATTATCGAGCAGTCTTGATCAGTCAGTTACATTAAATTTGTTTAAACATGCATCCTAAAAATTCTCATATTAATTTTGTAATTTTCCATCATCTCAATTAAGTACCCTTACGTTGATTTGTGCTTTATAACAATTTATGAAAATATTTTAATTAAAAAATAATGACAGATAATCAATCTAGACAAACTTCAAATTATTATAATAAAACATTACAATGAGATATTGGATTGTAACTGTTACGTTTTGAAAAGCGTTTTTTCGCACCGATAATTTTTTAGTATATAATACGTACGATAAACTATAATGTTAGTTTTTCACATTTTTTATCGTTCTTGTAATAAATAATAAATTAATCTTGGTAGTTTGCCTGTTATAAAATTTATTGACACAGAATATAGTTCGAGTTCGGTAGGTAATTGAAGTATAAAATTACAGTAGATGCATTCCAATGTTTCCTGTGCCAATTACCCGAGGTTTAAAGATCCTTCAAATATTTTGGATAATAATTCAACCCTATCTCTGCTTATTTAATTTCTTAGATTTATTTTTTTTATAATGATAAAAATAATACCTATCTAAAAATTTTATACATTTTTTAACGTCATTTTTTTATTTAGATTTAGTGCAATTCCGTTATCTGTAATGGCAACAACGAATTGATTTCTAAACACAGATTAACATTGGGAAAAAAAGTGTAACAGTTTTATATGACGGGAAGTGTACCAATTTCCTTTTTATTCCTCTGTTGTATTTACTACTCTAGGAATAAAAAATACTTGAATATACCAGATATTCACAACATTTATGTGCCTTGATAAAAATAACACATCTGGCGAGTTTTCTGTTTAATGAAAAGTAAAAGTGGATGTTCAATTCCATACTCATAATAAACGTAGAGACGTAGTGGGCAGTTAATCAGGTAATATTGACTAAATAATTGTTGAGCTCTTTATTTTTTCCATATCGAAAGCCGCTCTTATATTAATTAAATTGAGTTTAACATCATATACCGTTTCTATTTTTATTTCTAACGTTTTTAGTTAGTAATCCACAAGGAATCTACGTTCCTGTAGTTGGCTGTATACCATGTATTAAAAATTTAATTAAAAATCCTTTGTAATAGGTATATATTTAAGGCAGTTAAAAAGACATGACGTTTTCGGAAACCATGTTCCATCATCAGTGTCTAGGAGTACATGAATGTAGCCACCAAGATTAAATATATGGGTAAAAACCCGTTAACAGATGTTTAATTACATTTAGTTTTAAAAATATGTTATAATTATTTAAGATTATAGAGTTACCGATGGATTAGGTAACATGGCGACATATGACTCCAAGTTGAAGTTGCTATAGTCCTGAGACGGTATATCTTCGAGGACTGTATGTTGCACTCATACAGTCCTCCAAGACATACCGTCTCAGGACTAGCAACTTCACCGTGGAGTCATATGTCGCCATGTTACCTAATCCATCGGTAACTCTATAATCTTAAATAATTATAACATATTTTTAAAACTAAATGTAATTAAACATCTGTTAACGGGTTTTTACCCATATATTTAATCTTGGTGGCTACATTCATGTACTCCTAGACACCGATGATGGAACATGGTTTCCGAAAACGTTATGTCTTTTTAACTTAGCCCGTTTGGGCCTTAAATATATACCTATTACAAAGGATTTTTGATTAATTTTTTTTTTAATTAAAAAAGTTTTTAGTTAGAGTTTAATTTCCTAAAAAAAACTAATTCTTTTATAATTAAATTTTCCTTCGTCTTTCGTCCACTATACTTGTGTAAACTTTGAATGTCACTGCATATAAACATATTAACTCTGTTATTATTACATTCACCATTCGTCTACTTCGTAAATATATAAGATAATCAGCTTGTGTTTCTATTCTACTAGAATCTGTCTAGTTTGTTTTGCTTTGCAATATAATTATACCAGTCATTCTTTTCTGTCTTTTCCCAACCGATTTATCCTTTTTAGTTTAATCCCATCAACATTGCACACCTTTCATATTTTAATTATTTTTAAAGAATCTTCTACTTATTCCAAAATTTATTTCCAACTGCTTGGTCTTTTTAATTATTTTATTTATTTTGTTTGTTAAATTGTGTCCCATTTCATTAAACTTATCTGTATGGCTATTTCCATATTTTAAAATATTACCGCTTTTCGTGTTGTTATATCTTTTTCGTTCTTAATCCACTTTTTTCTATTTATTTCATCGTGAATTTAATTGCCTCGTAATTTACTTTTTCTGGTGTTTAATCAAGCGATATAATTCTAATATGCAGTTATTCTTCTTGCTTTTGTATAGACATGACTCTATAAATTCCAAAATCTCTGGTAAATTGTCGCTTCATCATTTTTGTGCTCTTGCTACTGATAGTCTTCCTATTCTTCTATCTTCCGGCTTATATAATCGTACCATTCTATTCTTTTATTGCTTACGCAGTCTTTGATGATCTATATCTTACATCTCCGTCGTATATTTGTATTTTTAGCTCTGTCCCATAGTGCTTCACCTTCGATTTGTTCTTTCTGTGTCGAGTCGTGTTTCTGCCGATTATATCATCATAGGCCTGATGGTTGTTTCATTTAAGCAACCTGCGGCTCTGTTTGCTCTATTCTTTTGTGATGCCTAGATATTTCAACTTCATCACTTGTTCTATTATCTGGACCTCTAGTTCTAATTTACATCTAAGTAGATTTGCTGTTATAACAGCATACATTGTAAATTATCTTTACTTTAAGAGAATGGTGATCCGTCGAGTGCATAGTTTTAAGTAGTTTTTCTCCAATTTGGCGTTTAGTTTTTAGTTCTTACTTTTTCATTACTTGATCCATGATCATATTGAACAATAGAGGACTCAGGGAATGCCTATGTCTTATTTTGATTGCCAGCTTTATGTTTTCAGTCAGTTATGTCTTCTTTTACTTTTACTTTTATTGTGAATAACGCAAATTTGGTTCAATTACCAAACTAAAATGTAAACCTGTCAAGTACTCTTTCGATCTAAAAACTTAAATAGCAGCTTTTGACAATGAAATCCCTTTTCTTATTGTATGCCATTTTCACTCGAGATTGTCATATCCACATCCTTAAAAATTTAAACGTACTCAATAATAGGTGATTTTATTTAATCTATTGTCAGGTAGCTCGCAGTTAGATAACGCCGCAGAACATAGCAATACCCTAGGAGAGATTCAGACAGATTCATTTATATCTATATAGAAGTAATTAGATGTAGGATGAGGATTGGAGCTGATAGTAGTATATTGTTTTTAGATATATGTTAAATTTCAATAAATGAACCAAGCGACTACAAATCACAGGTATTGTTTAAAGCAAAGTACCATTTAAATATAAAATTTAAACAAAACAAAACGTACGAAAGAAAAAACATAAGGAGAGAACAACAATTACATATAATTTTAACGTACCAGGCATAAAATCAACATCTGCTAAAAGATAATCTGTTGCCTCCCTAAAATGTTTTCTGAATGGCTCTAATTCTACGGGTAACTGAAAGTCTTTTATTATTTTGTTCAACGTATCTGTCTCTGGCATTCCCGTTAGCAACTCATGGTACTCGTCTGGAAAAATCTTTCCCTCATATTCTTCGACCAAAGATTTTAATACTTTCTTGTAAACGTATTCCGTCGCTACAATAAATACAATTTAAGCAATCAGACTTTTTAGTTTTTTAAGACTTACCTAAAATTGTACCATCTAAATCAAATATGCAATGTGTTACAGGTTTGAATTTACTAGTTGGACAACATCTTTTTAATTTTGACATAATTGTTTATTCTGTTAAATAAATATTAGTGAAAATCCTAATCTTAAATCATAATTGTCACGAAACTTTTTTGTTGGTGACATTTTTAACGTCAGGCAATGTAAACAGATTAGAATAATTTGGGTTAATTAAGGAAGATGACTCCTGACTTAAGAGGTGAAAAAGTTTTAATCCAACTAACCAAAAAAATAGAATAAAATTTATTTAAATAATATTATTCCACTGAGTAGACATATACTCAGTGATATTAGAAGTGTTACACTGAGAAGGAATAATTTCTTGAACTTAATTTTTTATCAACAGAATGCCTATATTTAAAACATGCTATGAGAACAATACCAATGTTTTATATTTTCTACTTTTTGTAAAAATAAAGTTTTATCTTCAAATTTTTTGTGAAGGGACCGATTTGTGAAAACTGGTTTTTATAGAAATTTTTAGTTATTATTCTTCAGTCTAATTAATTATATTCAGTGTAAGAAAATATCTCGAGTTCGAAGACTCCAAAATTACCACCATCTTAGCGATTTTCAAAGGGGTAAAATTAATGAGCTAATTATACGGCAATGACGGTTATGCCTGTCTGTCGTGTGAGGACAAACGAAGGTAGAGGAACACGAAAAATGCCAACTTGTCAACCGAAACGTACCACAGAGAGTCAAGATAAGCGCTTTAGATTACTGGCTCTGTGAGACCGTTCTACTACTACGCGCCAAATTGCTGACCAACGGTTTGGAGTGGTAGGTAGACCTGTTAGTATGCGTACATTATACCGTCGTATGCGAGCCATTGAACTGGTTTTATTCCGCCTACGACTAATGTTTCCTTTGACTGCGGACCACTGTCACCAACGTTTGAATTGGTGTAGTGAACGGCAGCATTGGGTCGCAGAATGGCGTAATGTAGTATTTAGCGATGAACCACGATTCTGTTTGGGAATGCTTGATGGTCGTAGGATGGTAAGACTCTGCCGTAGAAAGCGAAGAGATATCGGGTTTGCTGTTAAGAGGCATGTACACAGGACGGTTGGAGTAACGATTTGGGGGCTATTGTCTATAGTAGTCGATCAATACTTGTGTTTATTCGAGGCAATATGACAGCTGAGCGTAATGTTGATGACATCTTACAAACCACTTTACTGCCTCGAGGGCCGTCGAGACGTCCATTTTCAGTAAGACAACGTACGTCCCCATATTGCTTGTTAAACAATGAACTTCTTTCAAGAAACTTGCGTTAATGATTAGCCGTGGCCGCCTTGTGCTCCGAATTTAAATCCTATCGAACATACATGGGATATGATGGAAAGGGGACTCTCCACTTTGCACCATTCTCTATAGATTCTGGCGCAGTTAATACATAAAGTTCAAGTTGCTTGGAATGAGGTGCCACAAGCAGACATCGATCATCTCATTTTGTCAATGCCTAGACGCGTACAGGACTGTATTTAGCTACGGAGTCCCCAAACACATTAATAATTTTTTTTATTACTTGTTAATAAATACTTTTGACAACGTTATCGTTTCATTCTAAATGTAATTTTAGAATGTTGTCCAAAAATTAAGTTCAAGAAATTATTCCTTCTGGGTGTAACACTTCTAATGTCACTGAGTATATAATTTTACTAATAAAGAGGTACTTTTTAGATGAATGTATACACGGTATCTTAAAATAATTATATTATGTAATTGTTGTATGTAAAGTTAATTCTGATTGATACCAAGCGCAACCATTATTACTCTAAACATTTTTTTATTAGCGCCTCTGTAGTATTTAAGTGCTGATAGTTTATTATTTTATTTTAGCTAAATTGCATTATATTTAATATATATATATATATATATATTTATATATATATATATATATATATATATATATATATATATATATATATATATTAAAGTCGACATTTGTCACAATACCTAAGAAACATCGTCCAAAGACATGCGGTGATTATCGGACAATAAGTCTGATGAGTCACGTTTTGAAAATCTTTCTACGAGTAATACACAGCAGAATTTATACGCTGTTAGAGGACAGAATTAGCAATACTAAATTTGGGTTTAGGAATGGCTTGGGTACAAGAGAAGCCTTGTTTAGTATACAGGTGCTAGTACAGAGATGCAAAGATATAAATCAAAATGTGTATATTTGTGCAATCGATTTTGAAAAAGCTTTTGACAAAGTCCGACAACACAATATGCTAGAAATATTGGAAACAGCTGGATTGGACGATAAAGATCTACGAATAATTACAAATCTATACTGGCATCAAGTGGCAAGAATAAAGGTTGAACAAGAACTGTCGGATGAAATAAATATAAAAAGAGGAGTGAGACAAAGCTGTATATTGTCGACTTTACTTTTTAACTTATATTCGGAGGAAATATTTAAGGAAGCATTAATGGAGACAACCGAAGGTATTATTGTGAATGGAATAACCGTCAACAATATTAGATATGCCGACGATACCTTAGTCCTTGCCAATTGCGGAGAAGACCTTCAAAATCTAATGAACAAAATAAAACAGACTTGTGATCAGTATGGATTAAAACTCCACGTTAAGAAAACTAAATATATGATAGTTAGCAAACAAAATTATATACATGATGACGGTATAAAAGTCGGAGATGCCACACTGGACAGAGTAGAGAAACTCGTGTATCTCGGCAGTAATATCAATGAGAGCTGGAATCCAACCGCAGAAATTAAAAGCCGAATAGAACAAGCCCGAGCTGCCTTTGTAAAAATGAGAAACGTACTTTGCAGTCATGATCTTAGCATTGACCTTAGAGTTCGTATGATATCTTGCTACATCTTTCCTGTCCTGCTGTATGGAGTAGAAGCGTGGACCCTAACTGAGGCTATGCTTAAATGCTTGATAGCCTTTGAGAAGTGGGTATACAGACGACTACTGAAAATAAGCTGGGTCGACAGAGTTAGAAATGAGGAGGTCCTTAGACGGCTGAACCAAACAACACAACTGGTCAATATAATAAAGAAACGCAAGCTGGAATACTTCGGTCATATTATGAGACACCCTGAAAAATATGATCTTTTACATCTGATTATTCAGGGAAAGATCCAAGGTAATCGTGGTCCTGGTAGAAGAAGAACATCATGGCTGAAAAATCTAAGGTAATGGTATGGAAAATCAACTACATCGTTATTTAGAGCTGCTGTCAATAAAGTCACGATAGCGAATATGGTAGCCAACATGATAGCCAACGATCGATAACGGTCATGGAACTAGAAGAAGAAGATATATATATATATATATATATATATATATATATATATATATATATATATTGTAATATATTGTAGATATAGTATTAGTTTTAGAAAGTCATTTAATAGTATATACAACAGTTGTCAGAAGTCCATTTTACACAACATATTTTACCCAACAACCCGACAGAACAGCCCATGCAGGGTCGGCAATCATAGTCAGATGATCTGGTAAACATAACATTTTACCAAGTTATTCCAGACCTAAAATCAGAGCATTTTAATCAGAATAGAAACGTTCCTGTGGCGATTCATTGTCGCATCTATTTATTTACCTTCTAGACCTAATATCCTAGTTAAAGAAGACTACAGCTTTTTCCTAAATATCGATAGCAGACTATATGGGTATATTGAGGGCCAACGCTTTAAGAAGTGGAAATATATCAAATGATGAAATGGTCCAAGTTGAAGAAGAGCTTTATGCGATTATATGATTTCCAATATGCATAGCTGCAGTTATTTTTGTACTTTAATACGAATTGGTTTTTTTGGGGGTGAAACTGCAGAAATATATCGTTCAAAAAAATACTTTTTGCATTAGGTGTCTAAAAAATCAGTGATTAGTTTAAAAATTAAAAATAGTGTTGTAAAATGCTGGGATCCGTATATGATCAAACAACATTTAGTAATAGTCGCATACGCAAGAAACTTGGAACAAAACTCCATCAAGGCTATACGAAGTCAACAAACATCGACATCTTTGGAAACCAAAAATAAAAGACAGAAGAGAGCAAGTGATACTTACCCGTCTTTGTATCGGCCATACACGACTTACTCATGACTATTTATTACAGCGCAAAAATAAACCAGTGTGTGAAGTGTGCAACAGTGTTTTAACGGTAAAACATTTTTTAATATAGTGTCCCAAATATAACAGTGAACGACTTAAATATAACATACCCAACTCCCTAAGAGATGCCCTATATGAAAATACAAATACCCAAAAAATATTTGATTATCTTAAAGACTGTCAAATTCTTCAAATGAAACATACATTATAATACAACTACATATTATTATTATTATCGTAAACTAATGTATATACGCAAATTGTATCAACTGTCACATTAATCTAAATACGCTAATAACCCTGCGTGGTTGATGCGCTATATACACTACTCCAAGAAATTAAAGCACCATTTATAAAAACAAAAAAAGCGATTCATTGGGGTTTTAAATTTAATTGTTTTCATTTTTGTATGGAACATAACATGTATTTGGAATGTTTTCATCAGGTTACTTGTATTGTTCTTTTGTTTCAACCTTTCTCTAAGGAACACAAAACAAAGGTGCTGTAAATTTGTTAATGTCGATAAGAGGTTAGTGTCATTTTTCAGTCGTTGTGTGAACTAATGCTGTTTGGTGGTAACATTTTGCCATTGTTTTAATCAAAATACAACGCGAATCGAGAATTATGACTAATAAAGAGTGTGCTCAAATAGTGGTTTTGTACGAAGAAGGTTGGAGTTACAGACATTTAGGGGAACGGTTCGGCGTACATAATGTTCAAATAAGCTGTGAGTCATGCATCATGTTCGAATCAGCTGTGAAACTGTTTACCAACGTCTCAAGGAAGGTAATTTGGTAAATCGTATACATGCCAAAGGGGGCCAGCCTTGACCGTAGCTCATCGCAGAGCGCGTTTAGAATTTGCACGAAATCATATCCATTAGTTGGAGACTGATTGATTGTTTACAGATGAGAGCAAATTCTGTCTTTACAATTGTGATAGGCGTATTCGCGTGTACCGACGTCAGAACGAACGGTGCACGC